ATTAATATTTTTAATATTAAAATATCTTGATTTTTACTTTTCTCTTAAATTATTTTAAATTACACAAATTTAACTATTAAATAAAAACAATTCTTCTAATATTAAGAGTTTTCTCCTTTATTCAATATTTTTTATTTTTTATTTTATAATTTAATGCAATTTAAAATTATATAACATGATAAAATTTAGACTATATAACTCTTTTGTATTCATCCCCTTGTATATCTTTTCTTTCTAAAAGATTCAGTTTGAGTCAGACTAGAGTGACATTGATAGCATATTCAGAAACAAATGTAGAAGATTTTCAGAATTGACATGAAAAGTCCAAACAGAAAACAAGGTTTTTAAGTTATGAAATGAAACACAACATCAAATGACGATTCTGTACTGCTACATTTGAGAAAACGAGCGTTTGTCTAAAATGATTCCATGGAGAGAAATCCTTCCATTTCAAAAATAATGTGGATGCTGATTTCTCTGTACTAATTGTAATGGGATTCAACGTGTGAGTGAGGGTATACAATTGAATGAATGAATCTATCATGCAATAAAATCATGAGGACTCATTAGACCATTATTTAGATGCTTTGTGACCGTATGCCTTGGCTTCTTTTGCTGCTTCTAACATGGTACGCAAGCGACTCGCAATCTCTGTGAAGGATGGCCTTGCTGCAGGTTCAGGTTCCCAACACTCCTCCATTAACCTTCTCCATTCTGGATCACAGTAGCTTGGGATTGTTGGCCTTAGCGTGTTGTGCACTATTCCTCCTGCATAACAATGAACACATTCAGATTAAAGTCTAGGTCTTTAGATTACAAATGGAAAGAGAGATCAACCTAGGAAGATGAACTAAACTTGAAAGCATCTCCTTAAAGCATTGGTTTCTCGTTTTCCATAATAAATCTTCCAAGGCAAGAAGAACAACTAAAAACTGTAAAGCAAAGCACAGTGAGATATCACACCTATGATTGCTCCATAGTGCATGTTGGCATATGGCTCTTCCCTGGTGAGAATCTCCCATAGAACAATGCCAAAGGAAAACACATCGACCTGCAGATATTATGAAAATAAGAGAGTAAAAACAAACACAAGTTCGACAGCTGGACATCTCTGAGCAGACTGAGTCTCAGCCCTATTGTGTATCAAGCTCCACAAGCTTGTTTTCCTTGTAGTAAATAATACATATGGGAAATTCTTTTTTAACACCCACAAAAATTTAAGCAACAGCATCAGGGAGTGAAAATGACATGGCCACAATGTCATGAACCAAGGATTAATCAGAATGAGGAAGATGACAAAATACCTTTTCTGAGACCTTATTGCTGCCCCCATTCAAGAGCTCTGGGGCCATCCAAGGTAGTGTTCCACGCACACCACCAGAAACCAACGTATTCCTTTTGATTTTAGAGAGTCCAAAATCTCCAACCTAGAACAGAAGGATTATAGCTCAGAATCACTTAGCACAAAATGGTTAACCCAATTAGCCTTCCCAGAATGGATACCACCAGCAAAATTACCTTGCAAATCGGTCTTGATGGATCTTTCAAGTTCACAAGCAAGTTGTCACATTTCAAATCAAAATGCACGATATTTTTTGCATGCAGATACTCCATTCCAAATGCCGCATCCATGGCAATTATTAGCCTCTTGCGACGATCAAGATGCCTTCAATTCAAAATTGGATTTTAATAGCAAACAGGATGGTATATGATGCAAGAAGTAACTGAACTTTGAGAAAGTATCAAAAATTCATTCACAACTTGTGCTCCTCTAAAATCATAATACACATTTTGGTTATATTAAGTGCACAGCTACTCCAGTATTAGAGGAGATTTACCTATCTTTGCGAAGTAGAGCATGCCTAAGAGAACCATCAACCATGTACTCTGCGACAGTAGCCAGTGTTCCCCCAGGACCATCTTGCACTACACCATAAAACGCCACCACATTAGGATGATGAAGCTTTGAGAGAATGTCAGCTTCCCGCCAGAACTCGATGGTCTGAATATGCAATTATAAATGCTTTAGAATTAGAATACGTTAAGCAAAGAAAATGATAAGAAGGTGAGAGAAGAAAACAGTCTTAGCAACTGAGAGAGAAACCATTAACATTCTAAAATGTGAAACAAAAGAGGAGTATTACTCTATTTTCTTTACTTGCTTTTTTTATGAATGATGGCGGATAAATAAATGGCTAAGGCATTATATCTATGCCAATGTGTTTTGGGGGTTAAGGGAAGGTTACCAATTTTTCTTGCTCGGATGATCGACCAGTGAAGCAACTCTTCTTTATCCTCTTGATAGCAACATCTGTTCCCCTCCATTTTCCATGATATACAGTGCCAAATGTACCAGAACCCAGCTCCCTCAGTTCTTCTAGGTCTTCATTTTTTATAGACTATAATGTTGATGGAGGAGGATGAATAAGCATCAATTTGATGGAAAATTCAATAGCGTTGAATGTTGAAAGTTCTCAGAAAAATAAATTGAGAATCTATGTCAGATCTCAAACAAAAGATAGCCATCCCTTAGGAAAAGATGAACCATGTTAACTGATTTTCCAATTTGAGAAAGCAGACAATTCAAAGAAGCAGTTCAATGTATGAATATAATAAGCATTCATTTCTTTGGAAGAGGTGCAATGAAAGTTCAGAAACTTTTTTTTTTTTTTATAATTATACAGCATACTACGAAATTGCTCAAATTGGCAACTTACCTGCAGGGTACTGATGTCAAAATCACCCAAAGAAGGATCTAAAGGAGGTAAACCCATATTCCTAGCTGCTAATTTCCCATCCTAGAAGAAACAAAGTGATTAGATATTCTGTTAGTGATATCCTTCTTGAGGAAAAGATTAATTATTAGACTGAATCACCATTGAAAAGAAGTACCTCATATTCTGACTCTTGTGTTCTTTGGTTTGCCATCATAGCATCAAACTGCGTACTTTCAGAGTTTAGCGGGGGTTGATCCGAATCAGTAAGCATAGCTGCACTGTCCGCTCCAATCCTTATTGGTAAATCTTTCTGATTGTGTTCTCCAAAATTATGCTGGGACTTGCCCAATGAAATGCCATCTGTTGGCATAAACTGATATTGTCGGTTATCTTGGTCAATAACAGACACATCTTTTTCACCAAATTCTTGTGCTAACTTCTGAAAATATGACCAATGCTTTGGTTCATAATTTTCCATATTCAAGCTCAACCCACCTCCATCATTGTGCAGTGGGCTAATAGCAGAAGAACCCTCAGAAATCACTTCCTTGTAAAATAAATCAGAAAGGAAATCACGGGGGATCCGGTCATCAACATCAACAATAATGTCTCCTGCCTCTGCCTTGGCGGTAACATGACCCTGATTGACTTTTGGGATTTTTGACGCAGAAGCCTCAAGGTGCATTGTTGAAGCTACTTGGCCCTCAGGGCTTGCATTATCTTCACTGTCCACAGGGTTTGAAACTGCTTCCTTCAACTCACTTCCCAACACTTCTTCAGAAGGTTTTGAGTTAATCTCAAAAATTGCATCAGCAAACTCTTTGTACTTCTGCAGTCTTGCAAGCCCATCCTCAATGGTTTGAGAATCCATATATGCTGGTTTGGCTGTTGCGACAGATTCTTCGGTGTAGGGAACTGAATTACTATCCTGTAACTTTTCAACAGATTCTGTGTTCAGATTCCTTGGTGCGACACCCGATGGAGAATGAGATATCAGAAACTGAGAACCTAAAGAATCATCAGACTTCGAAAACCGCTTTAGCAACTCTACCTGCTCCCGAGTCAGTCTCTCAGAATAGTAGACCCTCTGTACAGACACTCGGGGCCCGTGACAGCTTAAATCAATATGACTGGACTCAGAATCTGCATAACCATGACCAAACGTGCTACTTGATGTGGAAAATTGGTCGTCTTCGGTAGATTTAGGAACCAGCACTGGATTCGCAGTGTCAACATGTGGCACACCCTTGTCAGGTTCCTGCTGCTTAGCTTCATATTTTGGAGGCAATAAAGTTAGATTTCCCTCAGGCACAGGAATTGAATCTGGCTTTTCTTCAGGTGGAACACGCTTTTTCATCTTACCATCAAGTGGCTGAGAAGGAACATGGCGACCCATTTCCAAAGGATGAGCTTTTTCAAAGTCATCCTCCTGATGAACTGAACCTTCAGGTTTCACTCTCAATTCATTCACAAGCATCTCTGACTTCTGTTGCTGTAGGCCATTGTATGGCTGTGCTTCAGCCAACCTTTCATGATGATTCATAAACCCATTAGGAGGTGCTGAACTAGGGAATTCTCCAAAGTAGGATGAAGTGCCATATTGAAATGGATACTGATCAGCTTCCTTGTGATGCATCACCTGGCCCTGGTAAAACTGGGGATGGGTTTCATAGGCAGTGGAGGAAGTTGGTAGAATTGGTTGAGAAGATTGAAAAGTTGATGATGAGACCATAATCCCAGGAAAGGGTGAAGTGGAAACAATGGTGAAGTCTCTCGCAGCCCTAGTAATCTCTTTGTCAATGTGATTGCCATCTAACTCATCCAAATTATTTTCTGAAGAACTCGCCAGGCCATGCCGGGTTGAGCCTCTTCCAGAACCCCCATCCATTCCATTTATAGCCACAACATATTGAACCTCAGAATCACCATGGACACTTCCAAGACCAAACTGAGAATATTCTAAATCACTCAGGGAGAACAGAAACATCCTCAGCTTTTGTGAGCTTTCTCTATTTTCAAGTTCATTACATTCCTCCATCATATTCTGCAGATCCTCATCACAGGACACAGACACCAGTGCATCAAAATCCTCACCAGGAAGCTGATATTTAATCACATCAGTTTGGTCATAAATATCTAAAATTTTCTGCTTAAGCTCCTGCCATGAAATGTCCTTTCTTATGCGAATGATACGTGTTTCACCTCCAACATACCTTAGCTTTCTGTCACTTGGTCGGGGCAGGATTTTGCCACCAAAGCTGCAGAGGGCCTTCATCTTTGATGATGAGCCCTCGGAGGCTCCAGAGGAAGAATATCCATGGGTAACCATAGATGTACCTGACCCACTTTCAGACCCTGTATGACTAATGCCTAAAATGCCTTTTAGTTCCATATAACCTGTTGCATAATTGGATTCAGCACCACTGCTTGGAATGAAAGGCTTCTTGGGATTAACCCGATCACGCATAAATTCAAGAGCAAACTCCTCACCAGTCTGTATGGAGTAATTAAGAACAGGTTTAACTTCTGAGGTACTTATTCCAGGAGCTCCTGTACTTGTATTTATACTGCTCATATGGTCAAGCATAGGTGCTTGCAGTGCAGGGTGGAATACCTGATTTCCATGTTCAGGAGAATTATATTGAAGCTGTGTATGTATTCTTGACTGTTCCATCTCAAATGTGATGGAAAATAAGATGTACGAATGCTACAAATATTGCACCACACCTACAAATACATTATCAAATGAATGCTAGATTAACTTAGGAAATTAACAGGAAAGAAACATGCAACAAAGAAAAACTGGTCTCACCAGAGATACCCAGACAGGAAAGCAGTTCTACTCAGTTACCAGTTTCAGAGTCCATGATGATATAGCCACTCATCTAGGGAACCTAAAAGTTGTTCGAGATAACTGCTAACAGATCTCCAACAGGCTGAAAAACTTCGAATTATAGATACTGTACATAACAGAATTTAAAACAATGACACAATTAAAGTAATTTAATGAAGTATCAATTATAATTGAAGTAAATTTCAACCTGCGGCCAAAGAGAAAGAGATTGCAAAAAATTCCAGAAAGGAATCAACAAAAAAGCTATACTCTGAATAATGATGCCCACATATCTCATGACTCACCAAGCTGGCATGGAAAAAGGAAAGGTGAAGTGGTTTGAAAAGCCTGATAAAGGATCTTATGTTATTGGATAGGTAAGATCTTGCTTTTGATTATTTTGATCCCCAAAAGAACAGAGAAGAGAAACTAAACAATAAATGGGGGATTGAGGGAACAAATTCAGTCAATTTTTTTCTTTTTCCTGCCTCTTAAAGAATACAATCAAAAACAAATTCAGCTATTAAAGACTGATTAAGCAACAAAGAAACACTAAAAACTGAGTGAAAGTGACCCTTCCAAAGAAAGGGTATGCTCTTAAGCAATGAGAGCTCCTTTTCAGTTCCTTTTTCTTCTATCTTTCGTTTTTATTATTTGATGTACGGTATGATTAAACTAGAAGCACCAACTAATGAATCACAAAAACTATCAAATTCAAGAACTTGAACGAATATATGCTTTCTGAGTTTCAAATAATCTCTTGGTTTCTACTTCTCCATATCATCGAATTATACATCAATATGCCATTCTGGATGTCTTCAAATTTGCATGTTTCTAAATTTTATAACCACAATTATCACATCCTTGAAAACATGACAGTTTGTAACTACATCTCCAGCTAGGTTAGATAGCTTTTTCCTTAAGTTTGGGGAAAATTAAGTACCACACAACAATCTGTCAAATAATTAAGAACTTCTCTCATTTATATTTTCACATTCTTCCATTAAGTAGGAGCCGAACAAAAGATTTACCACTCGTGTTCTAATCATTACTTGCATCTAACCAACGACTATTCATAAACCCTTCACAAAATAGCCACAGTACAGAGATTCTCAAGAAAGAGATTCAAAAACCCTTATCACATATCCCACCCTTCTTGCCACTTTTAAGCCAAGAATTAGCTTCAATATCAAAACTAAAAACAATAGCAAAAAAATTACTTCTTTTTCATAAAAGATCTATCTTAATAGACATGATATCAACACAGATCAAAACAAAATGAACATACACGCTCATACATTCTCCAAGCTCCAAAAAGAACCAGCAAAAGTAGAAAAAGATTGAAACTTGGCAGCTTTGAGCATACCTGAAAGCTTAAAGAGAGATGCTTTATGATGGGAACTCTGAGTTCTTGTTCAAGAGGGTTTCAATGAAGCACCCATTTCTACATCCAAAAAAGCCTCTCTCTCTATCCTCAGATTGAAAGAACAACAATACACAATCTCCACTTCCTCATCCCTCCTTCCGTTTTCAGACAAAACAAATTTCCAATCTCCTCATGCAACAAAATGACTAAACAAATCACAACCTTTACTTTCTCTCTCTATCCCCTTGCCCAATCTGCAGATATATTCTCCTGATAATTGTCAAACCAGGAAGAAGTAAATTCCCATTTTGCCCTTTACTTTTCCTAAGGGTTACTTTCATTTTGAGCTGTCGTTTCTATATCTTAGTTTTGTTTAAAGCTGGAAACGAGAAACGAGTGAACAGTGATAGCTCTTAATACAGGAAATTTATTTTTTTAATAATTTAGGGTTTTTATAACTTGGAAGGTTAATGATTGTTTTTATAAATATATATAAAAAATATAAAAATTCACATTAATTTTAACAATGGTAGTTAATAAATGAATTTAATTAAATAATTAATATATAAATTTGTTTAATTTATGTTTTTAAAATACAAGTTAAAAGTATAATAAGTATATTTTTTAAAAAATAAATTTATACAAAAATTATAAAAATTAATATTTATTTTAATATTATTGACACATAAATAATTTTAATTAATTTATTAATTCAAAATTAACACAAATTATTTTCATATAAATTAATTATAAAAAAATATATTAATTGTATTTCTTAACTTGTATATTAAAAACACATGTTAAAAAACTCTTAATAAATTAAATATTTAATTTTAATTTTTTAAAAACACAAATTTATCATTAAAAAATATATTTGTTATATTCTTAATCTGTATCAAAAATATAAAATTAAAAAAGCCCTTTAATTTGTACATTGCAATGCAATTGCACATCATTTTTATATTTTCGTTCATTTTTGCTTTCTAAACCGGTATTCATTTTGTAGGTTTAAATGCCCCTGTTCTTGTGGCACCATTTCATGGATCTCTTCTGCAAGTATTCTTTCAATGCATTGTTTCCCATTCATTTTATTAAAATTCCTGCACACTTTCCATCAAGAAAATTGAACAGATCCTGATTTCCTTTCCCCTTTATTTTTTCTTTCTTGAGAAAAGAGTTCATTTATGAAGAAATCCAGCATTTCCCTGAGAAAGATAAAAACTTTAATAATCCCACCTTTTGCTTGCCACCCAAAAAAGCAAACCCTAGAAATCAATGAGGTCAAATCCTCTGAATCTTATAATGAAACACATGTTCACATATAAGACCTAGAGAAGTAATAGCCACCTTCAAAGCCAAGAAAATATAGTAATGGAAGGGATGGACCTAATGATGAATTAAGGGCATATAAAAAATGATTGATGGAGCTTTTGGGTGTTTTGCTTTGACCTCCTTGGATTATTTTACAAAACATGATTATCATCATAAGTCATGAGCATTCTATATGTTATAAAGAATTACAAAATACTTCTTGGACTTGATTTCTTATGTTTTAGAATTCATAATCTCATTAGTTGATTAATGATTACGAAATTTGGGCCGGCAAAGATGGCCCTTTGATGATGGATTTGTTGAATTCCTTTTTCTTTTGACAAAGTGAAGAACAAGGGTATACGTGTTCCATGGAATAGCCATTAAAAATAGAATCATTTATGAAATATCTGTTCACCCATTATGCATTGACTCGTTATTTCATTTAACCTTGGTCATTGGGATAAAAATTCACCGGCATTTTTGCCCTTCCTATGAGATCATGATAGAGTTTTTTTATTCATATGTATCGTTAAAGTAAAAGTTAACAGTATATTTATTATATTTTTTAATATTAATTAATATTAAAAAAATATAATAATTATTATTAATT